CTACTGCACTGCCCCTCTCCCTCCCCCGCCGCTTTTCCTCGCTCCAGGTCCCCCTCCGGTAGATCCCCTCCCCCCTCAGGGTCCTGCTCCTTCAGGTGTGTCTCAGGTAGACCCACTCCCCTTGGCTGAGCCTGTAGAGGTCACTAGCAATTCAGGTGCTGCTGCGGGTGGTGTTGCTTGAGGTACTGCGTCTGGGGGTGCTGAGCCTGTGCGTGAGGTGCTGGGGGGTGCGGAGCCTGGGGATGCTGAGCCTGCGAGTGCGGAGCCTGAGGGTGCTGAGCCTACGAGTGCGGAGCCTGGGGGTGCTGAGCCGGAGGGTGCCGGGTCTGGGGGTGCTAAGTCAGGGGGTCTCTTTTCACGACGGAGGCCTCTCTCACCACAGCAGCTACGAGAGTGGCTTGCGTGGCGTACCCACCTGAGGAGTCGTGCTGCTGGAGCTGGAGGTCCTGCTGCTGGAGGTACTGCAGCTCGGGGTGCTGTGGTTGGAGCTGCTGGAGCTGCTCATCGTGGAGGCGCTGGGAGTGCTAGTGTTTTTGGTTGTAGAGGTGCTCGTACTGGAGGTACTGGAGCTGCCAGGATGGGTGGTGCTGCTGGAGCTGGAGGTGCTGGTACTGCTGGCGCTGAGGGTCCTGGAGGTGCTCGTCCTGGAGGTACTCGAGTTGCCGAGGTCCGTGGTACTGGAAGCACCGAAGTTGGAGACCCGCGCGTTGGAGTTCGAAACCTTGGAGCTGGAGGAGCTGGCCCTCGAGGTGCTGGCCTGGGGGTACTGAGTCTGTTGGTGCTGAGCCTAGGAGTGCTGAGTCTGCTGGAGGTCCTCCTGGTGCCGCGTCGCAGCGGTCACCTCTCTCGCCGCAGCAGCTACGCGAGTGGCTTGCTTCGCGCACCCGCCTTCGGAGTCGCGCTACTGGAGCTGGAGGCACTGCTGCCGGAGGTGCCGGAGCTGGAGGCACTGGAGCTGGAGCTGGGGACCCTGGAGCTGGAGGTGCCGGTTCTGGGGGTGCTGCTGCTAGGGACACTGGAGCTGGTTGCCTTGGAGCTGGTGCTGTCGACCTTGGAGTTGGAGACCCTAGAGCTGGAGGTGCCGGTTCTGGGGGTGCTGCTGCTAGAGGCACTAGAGCTGGAGGCCCTGGAGCTGGTCCTGTCGACCCTGGAGAAGGGGACCCTGGAGCTGGAGGTGCCGGTTTTGGGGGTGCTACTGCTGGAGGCCCTGGAGCTGGAGGTTCTGGAGAAGCTGGAGGCGCTGGAGTTGCTGGTGCTCGTCCTGGAGGTGCTGGAGCTGCCGCAGCTTGTGGTGCTGCGGGCTTTGGAGCTGGAGGCGCTGGCGCTGGAGGCGCTGGCGCTGGAGGCGCAGGAGCTGGAGCCACTGGCGCTGGAGGCGCTGGAGCTGGAGGTGCTGGATCTGGAGGTTCTGGAGCTGGAGGCGCTGGGCTAGAGGCGCTGGAGCTGGAGGTTCTGGAGCTGCTGGAGGCGCTGGAGCTGCTGGTACTCGTACTGGAGGTGCTGGTGCTGGTGGTACTAGTGCTGGTGGTACTGCACAGCCGCGACTGTTCTTCGCTCCGCCGTCACCGTCGTCTCGGCCACCGCCTGACTCCGCGCTTCGCCAGGTTCTTAGCCTCCCGTCTTCTACTGGTCTCCCGTTACAACCATGCTCTCCACTGCCTGCTCCTTCTCCTTACACTGAGCAGACAGACTCGCTTACAGAGCGTTGTGAGCCTGCGTCTCGTCCTGCCTCGCCTGTTCGCGCGCGTCGCACTAGCCGTCGTGTTCCTCGTGAGCGTCCGCCTCTTGTCCCTAGCACGCACGCTATGGCACTTCGTCCTTCCTCTGTTCCACAATGTATTCCCCTGCCGTCTCCTCCTTCGTCTCCTCTGCCTAACGTTCAGGACCCTGAGTCTGACCTGGTTGGTGCTGCTCACCCTACTGTCACGCGTCTTCTAGCCACTGTTGTCACTGACCCATCGTTTGAGTCTGCTGCTGCGTCTCCCTTAGTCTTTGAGCTTGTTGACTTTGTTGCTGCCTGTCGTCTAGACTTCGCTGCTAGTCTTGTTGCTGAGTCTGAGTCTGTCTGTCCTTCGTCCGTCGGGGGTGAGTGTGCTCTTGGCATGGACGTCCTTGAGGATAGGCAGGAGGACTTTGAGTGTCTTGCAACCGCTGCGCCTCATCTCGTGGCCATGCTGCTTGCCCCTGAGGGAGACCCGGATGCTCCAGACATCTCGACCCTGCGCTCTTATGCTGAGGCGATCGCGGGTGAGTCTCCTCTCAGTGGCTGACAGCGATGGACGCAGAGATGGCATCCTGGAAGTCCACAGGCACTTACGTCGACGCAGTTCCCCCTCCTGGGGCGAACGTAGTCGATGGCATGTGGATTTTCAGGGTGAAGCGGCCGCCGGGTTTTCCGCCTGTCTTCAAGGCTCGTTGCGTAGCGACAGGGAGTTGACTTCTTCCAGACCTTCTCCCCCACCCCAAAGATGACCACTCTTCGGGTACTGCTGCACGTCGCCGCTCAGCGTGACTACGAGCTTCACTCTCTAGACTTCAGCACAACGTTCTTACAGGGCAGTCTGCACGAGGAGATCTGGCTGCGCCGCCCACTTGGCTTCACTGGGTCATTCCCTCCTGGTACCCAGTGGAGCCTCCGACGGCCGGTCTACGGTCTTCGTCACGCGCCTCGTGAGTGGCACGACACACTGAGGACGACACTTGCGGCTCTTTAGTTTGCACCTTCCACTGCTGACCCGTCGCTGTTTCTGCGCACCGACACTTCGTTGCCGCCGTTCTACATCCTCGTGTACGTCGACGACTTGGTCTTTGCCACTGCTGACACTGAGGCTCTCGCCCTTGTGAAGTCGGAGCTGCAGAAGAGACACACGTGCACAGACCTGGGTGAGCTGCGTAGCTACCTTGGCCTGCAGATCACCCGGGACAGAGCATGGCGCACCATCACGCTGACTCAGTCACACATGGTGCAGCAGGTCCTTCAGCGTTTCGGCTTCACTTGATCCTCGCCACAGACCACTCCTCTGGCTATCGGTCACTCGCTCTCAGCTCCACCTTCGGCCGAGTCCGTAGAGCCGAGTGGCCTGTACCCAGAGCTAGTGGGCTGCCTCATGTACCCGATGACCTGCACTCGTCCTGACCTCGCGTACCCTCTTGGCCTTCTGGCACGCTACGTGGCTCCTGGTAGGCACCGAAAGGTGCACTGGGATGCTGCAAAGAGGGTGCTGCGCTACTTGTGCAGTACATCGGGCATGGGGTTTGTGCTTGGAGGGCGGAGCTCAGTTGTCCTCACTGGGCACTCAGACGCTTCTTGGGTTGACGACCTGGCTACGCAGCGGTCGTCACAGGGTTACACGTTCAGCCTTGGCTCTGGCTCTGTTTCTTGGCGGTCTACACGTTCGTCTTCTGTTCTCAGCTCCAGTTGTGAGGCTGAGATCTACGCCACAGCCATGGCTGCACAGGAGCTACGCTGGCTCACCTACCTGCTGACCGACTTGGGAGAGAGGCCTCGTTCTCCTCCAGTTCTGTACGTCGACAACAAGGCTGTCATTGCCTTGTGTCAGGACCACAGACTGGAGCACAGAACGAAGCACATCGCTCTGCGTTACTTCCTTGCTCGAGAGTTGCAACAGCGAGGTCAGCTTCATGTCGCTCACATGCCCACCCGGGCCAACACTGCTGATGAGTTCACCAAGGCCCTTCCGGCTGGTGATCATCAGCGCTTCTGCACTGCTCTAGGCCTGGCGCCTACGTTTCCTCACTTGCTGTAGACTCTGGTTGTACTGTGATCTATATATATATACCTGCATGTTTACTCTTGCTAGGTAGTGATCACTGTACTGTTGTTGTTGTTTCATATATACCTCTGCATGTGAACTAGCCTTGTGGCCCCTTGTGCTCGGAGTGTGTGGTGACGTTGTGATCCACCCTAAGCTTGCTTTGCTTTTCTTGACTGGTCTTGTGACCCCTTGTTCTCCCCCACTTTGCCTATGGGGGTGTGTCAAACCATATCTGTGCTAGTTGTGTGTAGGCTATAGTGGGGTAGCCCATGTAGGGTACAACCCAATATTAGGGTTAGTACTTGTACCCACAACTCATTCAATGCAATCACTCCGGATTGCTATCTTGACATATTTCACAACGCGCGCGAGAATTTTACTGAAGAACCCATGAACTTCGACTCGATTGAAAAGGCAAGCATGAGATCTACAGTTTGGTGTTAGAAGATATAAAATATGTATATGTCATTTTATATGCGCCCGCGCTTATAAATTTGACTCAATCATAAGCCCAACCCCCTAAAAAACCATGTTTCATTACACCCCCCCATGGGGGCTTATCCAGGGGGTTACGGTACGCAGATCGCTTCACCTCTCAACTCACTCGACAATTGTCAATGTTCGATTGGTCGCAAGTTTTTTTTTTTTTTTTTTTTAGTGAACTGTTTTTTTTCGTGGGGCCCCAAGATCACCGTGGGTAAACCTAGATGAGCAACAGTCCCACTGTCTCAACTTCAAAGGGCCGTTGAGGCCAAGTTTCCGACCACCTAGGCCGTTAGACTTGGTGAACGAAGCCGGCAAGGAGTCGGCTCCAATGACTACTCTGCTGCCGGCGCTGCCCCGCCACTTGTGGTTTGTCGCTATGCTCCCACCATTGGGCGAGAACAATGGTGGGAGCATTTCTGCATTTTTGCTATCGAACAGGGCCATTATGTGGTAGTTAGATACCACATTGAATATATTAAATAATGGCATCTCATGTTACAGAATAACCAGCTTCATTTATAGGCACAGATTTCCTATCATATGTTCAGATGAATAACCAGCTTCATTGATACATTTTACTCCTCGCCGCTGTTTTTTTCCACTCTTGCTTTGTCGCACGCCTCTCCCTCACCTTCACCTACACACTGCGCCCCTTTCCTATTAATAGATTCCTTTCCTGCGAGCTGAGGACCTTTTGTGCTGCTACTATCCCTCCTGGTCGCATACAAGACCGGAAACTCAGCTGATGCTCCTCCTCCTGCTCCTACCTCCCTCCCTTTCCTTCCCACCTTCCCCCCTTTCCTCTGCACTTTCCTCCCCAGCATCTGCTAGAGTACAGGTCAACGCCTCTCCTTCAATCACCCCCACGCCGCTACTCAAGCTGCACATGCGCCATGACTCGGTTGACTTTTGAGTCAACTCACAAGCCACCCCCACGCCGCTACTTAAGCTACACATGCGCAATGACTCCATTCGTCCTTCCTCCTCCGTTCCACCTTCCCCCTCCATTCCATCCACTCGTTTCTCCCATCCCCCTTCTCGCCTTTCCGCCTCTCCAATCGGCAGCATTCTAACTGAGTCGCAGCCGCAGTGTGAACTCTCTGTGTTGTTCCATGACTGCGCAGCATCGCCGAAGTAATCCATCAGTTCCAGATCCATCGTCTCGTGATACGACGCAGCGCGGCCCCTCTGCCCGCGCGATCCTTCGCCGTCCGTTGCGGCATTCCCGCGGTTCGTTTCGCCGGCCTCGCCCGAGCCACAGAGCAGGTCGACTCGAAACAGTATCTCCTGCCCAGCCGCGTGCTGCCCTGCCAAGCGTTGCCCTGCCGCATGCTGCGCTCCAATACCACCGCTGCGGCTTCGCGCGTGCGACGGCTGCTGCTGCGACGACTCCCGCTTGCCGTCCTCCTTTCGAAGAAAAGACGGAACAACCTTCGCGGGCTCAGCGTCTTCGAAGCTTCTCCGCCTTGGCGCAACTCCCGCCGCACCTCCCGCTGCACCTCCTGCCGCACCTCCTGCCGCACCTCCTGCCGCACCTCCCGTTGCTGGTTCCCGCCACCAAGACTTCGGAATTGCCCCGCTGCCAGTGGCGCCGGCGCCAGCGGATCCCGCCACCCCTCTCAACAAACTCAGACTGTTGCGCGGCTTGATACGACTTGGCGACGGGACGCCCTCGCTGGATCCTTCCGGTGGCACGACGTTTCCTTCTGAACGGGACGCCCGCGGGGAAGCGGCGAAAACCGTACCGGGACTCCAACGGCGGCCGCTGGGACTCTTATTAGTGGTCGTGAGAGCGCCGGCGGAAGCAGGGGTCGCCGCCGCTGGAGAAACCACAACTGCTGCTGAAGGAGAAGATGCGGCGGAAGAATCATCCCGCCCGCGGTTGGGGAAAATCCGCAGCTTCAGCTTGAAGTTGCGGATCGCCGCCGCCGTGGCGGGACGTCGGCTCATTATAGACGGCCTCGCGGCTGCAGCGGTGGCGCCGCTGTCCTGCTTCGGCTCGGCGAAGACCGTCAAATCTTCTCCATCCCACGGCGGAGGGCGGGGGCTCCAGCCAATCATGCGGCATTCGAAGGCAGCGTCCGCTCTCCGGGGAGTCCCCGGCGCTTTCTCTTCTCCCAACGCGCCGCGGAGCGAGCTGAAGTCGGAAAACGACATGTTTCGCGCGCGACCTCGAACTATACGATTTTTGCGGGTGCGCCGCGCCGTCGCGGCGCCGCTTGCTTCGTCGGAGGCGGCCTCCGCCCATAACTGCTCCATGTCGATCGCTGTGGCTGCCGCCTGGCGCGCGGATCCGCCGAGCGGGCTGCCGCGCACCGCCGTCAGCGCGGCGGGGCGCCACGGGTTTTCGCTGGGCGGGGAAAGTAGCGTGGAGGCGGAACCGGATCCCAAGGGAGACAACGCCGAGTCGCCGTGTTTTCTCCTTCCGGCTGCGACAGCTTCCGCCCATGATCCTTCCGCGGATTGGGGAGAAGTGCTGGGAGAATATCGCCTCACGCGAGTTCGTCGTGGGCTTAGCCCGAGGGCGGCTGTGGTGCTCAAGATACGCTCGCGATCGAACGAACGGGATTCGCCAGGGGATTGAGTTCGCAGGCAGCGAGAGCACAATGCAGGGAGGGCAGCGAGTGGCCAGTCTAAATCGGGAGGGAGATCGGAAGGTGAGATTTCTGGACTGCGAACAGCCGCAGTTACGGAGCCCATGGGGAAAGGTTCTGGTTCAGCTAGCTGGAGAAAGGACGGCTGATAGCTGGTTCTCTTGAACACGAAATGACAGGATGAGCCTGTGAGAATCACAGGTGGGAAACAAGGGCTGCTGGTGGGGTTGTGTGGAAACCAGAGCCCTGATTTCATTCGGTTACCACAAGATTCCAGAACGAAAGCGTGTAACAGAAGCACCGAAATTAACCCCAGATGAGAAATGCTGCGGACGGAATGTGTCGGAAATGGTACGTTTTGAAGTCACAGAAGAGATTTTGTTTTGACATCCAGTACTACTTCTGTGCACACGTTGACACATTAGTCATATTTGTCCAGAGCCTGACAAATCTGCTGCTTTGATTCCATTTCCACCCTGACGAATTTCGACGAAGAAACGCATAAAATTTTGACTGTACGTATCCGCACAGTGGTCAACAGACAGCATTGGTGCAAAATCGAATTGCCTGCCCAAATCGTTCGTGTTTTCTTCCTACTTTACCCATTCGTACCACGCCTAACAATACCAGCCATTCGTTCACTTGAAACCTATTTCACACCCACAACTTTCACCACAGATGGCATGCATCCAAGAGAGGCTTCATCCCTAAACACAATGGGACAAGGTGTTTAGGGTTGATGCCATTCCATATGGGTTCATTTTTTGCCCGCGGGCAGCGAGCTCCTCTGGGCGGAGCCGTTTCTCTGTTGAGATATTACAAGCGGTTTGCCTCCTTGTCTCTAGCTTACGTGCAGCTTGAAAGCCAGGTTGAGTATACACCTGGGCTCCGATAATTTCATTCCCTCCAATTTCAAGACCCTTGTCGTCGCCTGTGGCTCCTGGTTGAGAGCGGTTCGGTCCACCCAACAACCCTCCGATACCCTAAACCGAGTACAACCGCTCTCGAAGAGTTCAGAAGAGTCAGAAACCCCTACATTTTTCGTGAGAGTGTTGAAATCGGAGGGAACTTTATTGTTCCCCCCAATTTCAACCCCAGGGCAAAACGACAAGGACGCTGCTCGGTGCCCACTTTTTGAAGTTATCGGAGCCCAGGTGTAGCTGCCCAGAAAGAGAGGTCCACTGATGGTCGGTGTTTGTATTCATCGCACAGCCGTGATCTTGGCCGTAACGGGATCTGGTGACACAAGCAATCCACATACGCACTGTACACGGTGAAGTTGAAGGTTCTCCCAAACCAACCACCAATCGATGTTTGAGTGCGGTGCGGTGCAGTGCTCATTTCGCATCTTTTTACAAAATCCATCAGCCATCCTTGACGATTGCACGCTCACGCGTGCAAGCGAACGAAGACGTGGGGTGTAGATCTAGCTGCGAAACCGATGGCGAAGTCCGACTCGCCCTGACGTGTTATCGGAGATACGTTTGTCGGCATACACGTAGAGATTGACTGGCTGTCAATTCTCAAGGAAATGGCCTTGCATGCCCACGAAATTAAAACGGCGAAGCTGGTGACTGGTGCTGATTTTTAAGGAAAGGGTTATTTGAGTTTGATTTTCATATGCTCAAATCAAATTAATTTATAGTATTTGCATAAGAGTTAGTTCATACGTTCTTAGAGTACTTTTGCTGATCGCCCTAAGACTTCTATAGAAGCTTAGAAAATTGTACATGATTGAAGTTGCTGCTGCGATCAGCTGTTGATCGCTGCCAGGGTCTACTCGGGAAGGTTCGCAAGTAGAGAAGTAGAGTTGGTGGGCCCTTGACCTCAATAGCAGAGTGAATGTAAAATGCTTGAGATGATTAAAACATGCAAATACAGCAAATATAAAAATGAGTACAGGGAAGACGAATAGACCTAGCTAGCCATGTACTCTAAGGGGTACATTCCCTTATTCAGATTCATTCCCTACCGTGCGGTTCGTACAGTTACGAACTGTTCCCGCTGAAACCCTCCTGCCTGCAGCTGCCCGATGCCGTCTGCTCCGACGGTCCAGATGCACCCTAACCGTCTGACGCTTCGAGTCAATTCTGACTCTTCGCATTCGTTCTCGATACTGCGTGCTTCTTGCTGGGCTGAAGAGGCCCTTAGGATCTTTGCAGGGATGAACTCTGAGTAGGACTGATGAAATAGCGGAAGCGTTTAAAACCCGAGTCTCATATTTCCTAGTGTATTACACTTGGTTGGGCTAAAGCGCATGTGATTGGGTAACGATAGGCGAGATTTGTGACGAGCAGTTTGGAAAACACAAGCGACCCCTCGGTTCGTCTACGCAAAAGCCAAACAAGCCCCTCAGGCATGGAAAGCTCCCACACCTAGAAAACAGATCCGGCAGTTCCATGCGACCAACTGAAACGACAAGACACAAGTCGCCCACATTCACCAGGAAAAGCAGAGCAAAACTCTCATCTTCCAGTTTTACTGCCTCCGCTTAGTATGGTGCCTAGGTATGTACCTCCACACCAAGATGCTGGCCTTATCACAGCAACAGGGATATAGCAGTCTATTATAGCCCTTTTCGGACCAGATAACAGGGGACTTGCGAACAATTTTTGGTTGCGGATAACGCACTAATTGGCGAGTAAGGAATCGTCCAATGTCGGGAACCGTCGCAACGCCATCGCTTGTTACGAAGTAGCCAGTTCGTGACATTCCGAAATGCGTTCTAACTCTGCTATTCACAGCTATGATGTCGCATTTCAGAATGCGCACGCCAAGCGCGAGTACGTGAAATGTTCTGCCGTCCTGGGTCTGTGTGCGAGTGGCATATGTGTGGGGTGTGTGTGAAATCTTGTTTGCGTGCGCTTGTGTGCGCGTACGTCCTTGCATGCGTGCGTGCGTGCGTGCGCGAGCGTGCGCGTGCGTGCGTGCGTGCGGTTGTGCGTGCGTGCGTGCGTGCGCGTGTGCGTGTGCGTTTGCGTGCGCGTACGCGTACGCGTGCGTGCGTTCGTGTGCGCGCGTGCGCGTGCGTGCGTGCGTGCGTGCGCACACGCGCGTGCCTGCGCGTACGGGTGTGTGCGTGCGTGCGTGCGAACGTGCGTGCGTGCGTGCATGCGTGTGTGCGTGCGCGTGCGTGCGTGCGGGTGTGCACCTGTATGTATTCTGATCCTTCTCTCCCCTTCCCTCTCTCCCCTCCCCTTCTCTCCCCTTCCCTCTCTCCCCTCCCCTTCTCTCCCCTTCCCTCTCTCCCCTCCCCTTCTCTCCCCTTCCCTCTCTCCCCTCCCCTTCTCTCCCCTTCCCTCTCTCCCCTCCCCTTCTCTCCCCTTCCCTCTCTCCCCTCCCCTTCTCTCCCCTTCCCTCTCTCCCCTCCCCTTCTCTCCCCTTCCCTCTCTCCCCTTCCCTCTCTCCCCTTCGCTCTCTCCCCTTCCCTCTCTACCCTTCCCTCTCTCCCCTTCCCTCTCTCCCCTTCCCTCTCTCCCTCCCCCCTTCCTCTCTCCCCTTCACCCTCTCCTCCTCCCGTCCGGAGCTGTTCTCAGGTCAGCCCATCCACGCCATCGGCAGCTCGCTCCTCTCCCACCCCTCCACCAACCCATTCCCCTCCCCTGCTGCCGCACACGCTTCCGTCAGCGATGATGCTCGTACTCCTCCCACTTCTCCAACACTTCCTCTCCTTGGACTCCCACCCTCCAGCACCCGCCGCCCCTCTTTCGCCCTCTTTTCATTCCATCCGGTAACATTCCAGGAACCTTCACCATGTTCCTTGTGCTGTGATTGCTGCCCCATCCCCCTCCCCCTCCCCTTACTGGTCACTCACCCTCACCCCCTCCTCCACCAACTTTCCTCATGTCTGTAGCAAGGCTTGCTTGCTAGCCAGCCCTCGCCACGCGCTCACCCTGCTAGCTATCCTGCCCGAAGCTGAGGTGTATGCGAGCAGGGGAAGGTGAAAAGGGTGTGAGTGTGGGCGATGGTGAGAGAGGGGAGGGGGAGTGGGAGTGGGAGGTGGGGGAGTGGGAGTGGGAGGTGGGGAGGTTGAGTGCTGTGTTTAGGGCCATGAGTGTGGAGAGCCCTTTCCTTCTCCATCTGCCCTTTCCTTCTCGCCATTCTTCTTTCCCATCTCCCCTCCCTTCCCGTCCATCACCCCTCCCCTCACCATAGCGCTTCTCTCGCTTAGGCCATACGCCTGCCCTCTCATCCCACCTCCCCGTCTCCTCATCCCACCTCCCGATCTCCTCATCCCACCTCAACATCTCCTCATCCCACCTCAACATCTCCTCATCCCACCTCAACATCTCCTCATCCCACCTCAACATCTCCTCATCCCACCTCAACATCTCCTCATCCCACCTCAACATCTCCTCATCCCACCTCCCCATCTCCTCATCCCACCTCCCCATCTTCTCATCCCACCTCCCCATCTCCTCTTCTCCCCTTGTTTCCACCCCCATCCGTCCCCATTTAATCCCTTCTCCCCTCGTTTCCACCCCCATCCGTCCCCTATTAACCTCTTCTCCCCTCGTTTCGACCTCCTCATCTCATCTCCCCTTTATGCCTCCAACCACCACTCTCTGCCTTCCCGTCCCCCCTTTTTGCATCCGTCCAAGAACCTCTCCCCTCTTCCCTACCTTCCCTCCCCATCCTTTCCTCCTCTTACTCCCCTCCCCTTCCTCCCCATCCATGCCCTTCCCTCCATGCCCTTCCCTTCTCTTACCGTTTGGCATACAAGTCAGCACGTGTGCCAATTCCCTCTGCTCCAGCTGCAAACAGGTCAAGGCATGGCCCAAGCAAACTTGGCACTCCCATTCCCCATCGCTGCCACTCCCCTTCCCCATCGCTGCCACTCCCCTCCACAGTCGCTTGAACGACAGGGTAGCGGGGGAAGGTGAGGGTGTGGGACAGGGATGAGGCAACATTTGCTGTTAGAGAGAGGGGAGAGGGGGGTGGAAGAGAAAGGGGAGGGGGAGTGGGAGGTGGAGGTGGGGAGGGTGAGTGTTGTGGTGGCGGCCATGAGAGTGGACAGCCCTTTCCTTCTCCATCTGCCCTCCTTTTTTTTCATTTCCCCTACTATGCCATCCCATCTCCTGCCCCTTTACTTCTCATCCCCTCTCCCATTCTTCTCATCTGCCCTCCCTTCCTTCCCATCTTGCGTGCCAGCCTCCCTTCCTTGCATCACCCCTACACTCTTCTGTTCTCCCCGTTCCCCCTTTTTACCACTTCTCTTCCTTCACATCTCAACTGCCCTTTTTCTCATCCCTGGAGCCTTCATTCCTCCCGTCACCCCTCCCTTTGTTCCAGTTACTAGCAGGTCTAAGCTAGTCACAGGCGAGCCTGGCGGAACGGAAGGGACTGGCAAGAAGCAGATGCACGGCCAGATACACGAAGGCGAGACCGGTGCTAGAGGAAAGATGTACCCCGTATCTTCAATTATAACACAAGTGTATATACATTCAATAAGTTCTTTACATCAGTGCTGTGCGCAATTGCTACTTCAAGAATGGATGCATTGAAGCACTCTCAGCATCAAGTGTAATATGCTATGAAAGACAAGAGACTAGGTGGGTTTGGCAAGCCTACTTTGCGAACAACTGTGATTTAAATCTACGCTTTAGTCACGAAAGAGAGGATCAACTGGTTCTTTTCGCGCCATGCTGGAACAAGCACATCAACAGGGGGGAGAAAGGGGGGAAGCAGAGGGGAGACAAGTGGGAAAACAGAGGTGAGGCATGGGAGGAAAACGAGGTGAGGCATGGGAGGAAAGCGAGGTGAGGCATGGGAGGAAAGCGAGGTGAGGCATGGCATGGGGAAAGAAAGGAGGCAGGTAGGAAGGGGGGAAGTGAAAGCAGGGGAAACAGGTGGAAGGGTTGGCAAAGTGTTGGCTGCATGGGAGGAGCTGGTAGCACGGGATGAGAGGTGACAGCAGAGGGGGAAGGGAGGTGGTAGCAGAAAGAGAAAAGAAGGTGATAGCAGAGGGGGAGGGAAAGGGGGATGAGGGAAGGGATGAGGGATGGGGGAAGGGAAAGGAGGATGCGGGGAAGGGATGGGGGATGGGTAAAGGGATATTGGGACACATGGGAAAGGAAAGGGGGATGTGGGGAAGGGATGAGGGATAGGGAAAGGAAATGGAAGATCGGGGAAGGGAAAGGAGGGTGTGGGGAAGGAAAAGGGGATGTGGTCAGAGAAGGGGGATGGGGGAAGGGAAGGGGGATGGGGGAACGGAAGGGGGATGGGGGAAGGGAAGGGGGATGGGGAAAGGGAAAGGGGATGCGGGAAGGGAAGGGGGATGGGGAAAGAGAAGGGGGATGGGGGAGGGGAAGGCGGATGGGGAAAGGGAAAGGGGATGCGGGAAGGGAAAGGGGGATGGGGATGGGCGCGTTTCCTACGTTTCCTCCCGCCAGTCCCGCTCCGCGTTCCCTCCCGTTCCGTCCCGTCATACATCACGTCCCATCCCGTCCCGTCATGTCCCGTCCCATCCCGTTCCGTCATGTCCCGTCCCGTCCCCTCACATCTCGTTTCCTTCCCGTCCCGTCAAGTCCGTCCCGTCCCGTCCCGTCCCGTCCTTTCCCGTCGCGTCCCTCACGTCCTTCTCATCGCATCCCGGACGTCCTTCTCACCCACTACCTCCCCTCCAGTCCCTTCCCTCCCATTCTCGCGCCCGTCCCGCCACACCCCTTCTCGTAGCATCCCGTCCCGTTCCTCCCTTTCCCGTCCCGGCTCTCCCCTTACCTCGCATCACGCCCATCCCTTTCTCTTCGCTTCCAGCCATGTCGCGTCGCTTCCTGTAATGTCACGTCGCTGCTTATCCAGTCCTAACCCTCGCCTTTCCGTCGCGTCGCTTCCTATCTCGTCCTAAACCTCGCCTTTCCGTCGTGTCGCTTCCTATCTCGTCCTAACTGCTGCCTTTCCGTCGTGTCCCTTCCGTCCAAATTCGACAGGGGGGGGGCGTTACTGCAATACACCTTGGTCCAAATACAGTGTTCTTATTGCAATAATGAGGACCAGCTCTGGCGATGGACGGACTGTACGTGCGTAAAAGTAAAAGCAGGCGCGGAGTGACCAACGAGAAGTACAACGTATTGTCACGTTTGACGCTGGAATATACCTAGGGAAAATAAGATGCTGAAATGAGACTTAGTCGCTAGAGAAATCGGTGCAAGTATGTTCCTCCACCTACAACCTGTCAAGGTTTGCAGTCTCATATTTTTCCAGCTCTGTAATACGCTCGGTTGTGGGCTGTGTGTCCCATTCTCAGTCCGTCGCACACGCAGTTGCCTGTTTCTCGCAAACCCGGCTTGGTGGTCAGGCACCTGCACCTACCAAACTGTTTGGTTTGCCAGCCAATCGCACCTGCGCCAAACCAAACGCGAGTGTTTTGCGAGTGATTGTTTGGTTACCCGGTTTCAAGCGTATTACCTTTGGTTGGAAACAAAAAATATGAGACGCGGGTTTTAATGAAGTATTGTGAACCACCTTGCGCTAGTATGTGAGGGCAAAGTAGATTGATTAAAAACAAAGAGATACAAGATTATATAAGAGTACAAGGAATATGAAGGGATACAGTTATAACTGTTTTACTGTTGCTGTTGCGGTTCGATACAGTGACGACTCGGGCAACTGCTCTGTAGCGAGTCAGTTGTGTGTCCTTGCTGTCGCGCTGTACTTGTCAGGTCAAAGGTCGCTGACCTTTGACTTTCGCGTAACCTCCAGCAGTTACTTCAACCTCCGAGGGTTGACTCGCTGGTGCCTCGATATGCTTTGCTTCGCTTGTGTCTTGGTGTTTCGACACGATAGAGGCGCTTAAGACCGATTGTTTCCAACACTCCCCTTCGCTTCTGGAGTGTCGCTGCTGGTGACGTGGCTCTGTCCAGTCAGCAGCATGCAGTACTCGAACTTCTGCTTTCCGAGCTTCTTGGTCAAGTAGTCAGCTGCCATTTCGGACATGGGGCAGTATGACAGCTCGAGCCTCCCTTTCTCGATCTCGTCCTTTACGAAGAAATATCGCAGGGCGATATGTTTCGTCCTGTTCGCGAAGCCGTTCTTGTTGGCGATGCGAATTTCCGACTGGTTGTCGCAAAACAGGGTGAAGTTGGGTAACTGAGCCAGTTTCGCTTCTTCCTGCAGTTCGCGAAGGTAAAGTCCTTCCTTGGTGGCTGAACAGAGTGCAATATATTCTGCTTCAGCTGACGAGAGGGCGATTAATTCCTGCTTGCTCGACTGCCAAGAGATAGGTCCGATAGGTTCGAGGCGGTAGATGTAGCCGGTGCGGGAACGCCTGTTGTCGGAGTCGCGAGCGTGATCGGCGTCAACGTAGCCGATTAACTTGGGCGGTGTAGTTGCGTTCTTGTAGTAAGTTAGGCCGATCGTCGGGGTGCTGACGAGGTAGTGAAGAGCGCGGTCGAGCTCCGCCAGATGTTCTGCTTCAGGCTTCTTGAGGTAGGTGGCGAGCTGACTTGCAGAATACGATAGATCCGGGCGGCAGGTGACAGCTGCGAAGAGGAGGCAGCCCAGTTTCCTTTGGTAGTCGCGTATGCCGGGAGGCTTAAGTAGAGCGGAGCTTCCCTTGTTGTTTCCTGTCGTGTAGCGGTACGGTGTGGAGATGGCGGTCGGTGTGAGTGCGAAGCGCTTGGCGATGGTGTCGGCGTATTTTGCGGCACTGAGGTAGATCACGTCTTCCTCTTCTCGGATGTTGAGACCGAGGTACTGTGTGACGGTAGTTGAGACCGTGAGCGTGAGGTCTTTCTGCAGCTCCCCTTCGAACCAGGTTGTGATGCCGTCGGTCGAGCCGATGTAGAATAGATCGTCTACGTAGACAATTAACAGGATGTAGTCGGTGTTCTTCGTGAGCCGGTACATCCCCTGATCATGCGGTAGTTGTTTGAAGCCGATGCGAATGAGGCGAGCGTGCAGGTATTGTTGCCATAGCCGCGGAGCTTGCTTGATGTCGTAGAGCGACTTCAGCAGCTGACAGACTTAATTGGGCTCTCCATTGGAGCCGTGCGGTAACTCGACGAAGATTTCTGCGTCGACAGGTGCGTAGAGAAATGCGTTTGCGACGTCGATTTGTCGCAACTTCTTTTTCTTCATGGCGGCGATCGCGAGGAGAATTCGCAGTGAGGTATGTCGGCTGACCGGAGCGAATGTCTCGGTGAAGTCGCGTCCGTGTTCTTGGTCGAAGCCACGTACGACCCAGCGTGCTTTGAATATGTCGATGGTGCCGTCTGCTTTTGTTTTCACTCGGAAAACCCACTTTCCAGTGAGAATCGTTTTGTTCCGCGCCACACTGATGGGAACGACTTTCCAAGTGTCAGAGTTATATGACATAGCTACTGTAGGCTATAGTGGGGTAGCACATATGGGGTACAGTTGCCTAGGGTTTGCCTTTTTGTACCCAACTTTCACTTAGTCATTTCATTCCTGTTTTCTTGATTCACATGGTATAGAGCGGGTTCCTACATGGGACCGTTCCTTCCTAAGGGCCCACCATAAGAATTTTTTTTTTTTAGCTGCCCGCGCCCATTGCGCCCTGCCCTAAAATTTTTTTTTAGCGGCCCCTACGCTGCCCCTACGCGGCCCCTACGCCGCCTCCCACGCGCCCCCTATGCGGCCCCTGGCGACGCCCTGACGAGGCCCCTGCCGGCGCCCTATCGCGGCCCCTGACGCGCCCCCTGGTGGCGCCCTGACGCGGCCCTGACGCGGCCTGACGCGGCCCCTGGCGGCGCCCTGACACGGCCCCTGCCGCGGCCCTGACGCGGCCCTGCCGCGGCCCCTGACGCGGCCCTGATGCGGCCTGCCGCGGCCCCTGCCGCGGCCCTGAAGCGGCCCCTGACGCGGCCCTGACGCGGCTCTGCCGCGGCCCTGACGCGGCCCTGACGCGGCCCTGCCGCGGCCCCTGGCGGCGCCCTGACGCGGCCCCTGACGCGGCGCCCTGACGCGGCCCCTGCCGCGGCCCTGACGCGGCCCTGCCGCGGCCCCTGACGCGGCCCTGACGCGGCCTGCTGCGGCCCCTGCCGCGGCCCTGAAGCGGCCCCTGACGCGGCCCTGACGCGGCTCTGCCGCGGTCCTGTCGCGGCCCCTGACGCGGCCCCTGCCGCGGCCCCTGACGCGGCCCCTGACGCGGCCCCTGTCGCGGCCCCTGACGCGGCCCCACCACCTACCTTTCCGGCCACGCCGCCTCCTCTCAGCGGCCCCGCCGCCTCCTTCCAGCGGCCCCGGACGCCGCCCTCTCAGCGGCCCCGCCGAGCCGCCCAGCAGCCTAGCCGCCCAGCAGCCGAGCCGCCCAGCAGCCTAGCCGCCCAGCAGCCGAGCCGCCGAGCCGCCCAGCAGCCGAGCCGCCCAGCAGCAGAGCCGCCGAGCCGCCCAGCAGCCGAGCCGCTGAGCCGCCCAGCCGCCGAGCCGCCCAGCAGCCGAGCCGCCCAGCAGCCGAGTCGCCGAGCCGCCCTGCAGCCGAGCCGCCCGAGCCGCCCTGTCCGGTAAGAGCAGCGCCTCTCTCACAGCACTGCCCTCACCCCACTGTTTGCTCTGCTAGTCTACTGCTGTCATGGCTACCCCTAGTGTCCTCGCTTTTGACGCTGAGGGTCGGGCCATTGACTTTGACGTCTGGATAGATGACCTGCAGCTTTTCTTACAGTGCGATAGGGCAGACGGCCTCTCCCTCTTTGACCTCACTTCTGGTGCCTCTCCTGCCCCCGCCACTGATGCTGACGCAACTGTTCGCTCCCAGTGGGCCATGCGCGATGCTGCTGCACGTCTTGCTGTGCGTCGCCACCTGCCTACCTCTGAGCGTGCGCACTTTAGCCAGTACAAGAGTGCTCAGACCTTGTACGACGCTGTAGTTGCACGCTACTCCTCCCCTGCCACTGCTGCACTGAGTCGCCTCATGCTACCGTACCTCTTCCCTAACCTTGCTGCCTTTCCCACAGTCGCTGACCTCATTACGCACCTACGCACTAGTGACACTCGCTACCGCGCTGCGCTTCCTGCTGAGTTCTGCGCCAAGAACCCCCCCCCCATGTACATCACCCTCTACTACATAGTCACCCGGCTCCCTGACTCCCTTCGCGTAGTCAGGGACCACTTCCTCTCAGTTTGCCCCACCACTCTCACCGTTGACCTCCTCGAGAAGTCCCTCCTAGCAGCAGAGAAGAGCATAGTAGCTGTAGGAGCCTCTCGTGGTGACCCTCGCACCCCCATCTTTGAGGGGTGTTCCCCCTCCCCCCTTTTGCCCTCTGTTGCCTCTGCTGCTGCGGCCGACCTCGTTGGGCTTGAGTCGGTCGGTGCGGCGTCTACCCCTAGCGGGAGACGCCGCCCTGGCAAGGGCAAGGGGGGCAGGGGCGCTGGAGGAGCTAGCGGGGGCGGTGGAGGCGGCAGTGGAGGCGGTGGAGGAGGTGGGGGTGGCGGTGGGGGTGGTGGCGGGGGTGGAGGTGTCGGTGGCGGCAGTGGAGGCGGAGGCGGCAGCGGCAGTGGCGGAGGGAGCGGAGGTGGCGGCGGTGGAGGAGGAGGCGGCGGAGGAGGTGGAGCTGGTCGGGGTGGCGCTGCGCAGAGGGTCGGCTCCGGTGGTGGTCAGCGCCAGCAGCAGCAGCAGCACCAGCAGCGCACTCGTGACATCCCCTCCCCTCAGCAGCTCCGTGAGTGGTACACTGCACGCCAGAGGGGTGGGGGTACTGGTCCGTGCACCTACGTCCTCCGCACCGGCGACCGCGCGGGTGAGCAGTGCAGGGGTGCGCACTCCACCCAGCGCTGCTTTGGCCGCCTGACGGACGCTTGGCGTCACCAGTTCCCTGAGGCCACTGAGATCCCCCGCTGGGGTGAGCTGTCTAGGGCGGGTGTGGCTGTCTTTGACCTTGACTTTGATGCTATTCTTGCTGCCATGTATACTGTGACTATTAGTGATGAGGGTGACTGTTACCGGTGTTTTCCGCCCGACCCGGGCATTGAGACTGCTGCTCTAGGTACTGGTGAGGCTGCTGCTCTAGGTGCTAGCGAGGCTGCTGCTCTAGGTGCGTCTGCTCCCTCAGGTGCTGGTGAGTCTGCTCTCTCAGGTTCTGCGTCGGCTTCGGCCTCCCACACCTTCACCCTTGACTCGGGGGCTTCTCGCTCCTTCTTTCGAGACCGCACCACACTCACGCCGCTTAGCCGGCCAGTTGCAGTCTCTCTGGCAGACCCCTCTGGGGGTCCTGTCCTTGCTCACTTCTCCACTGTCCTCCCGTGTCCGGCGGCCCCCTCTGGCACCCTGTCTGGTCTTTACCTTCCCTCGTTCTCTACGAACTTGGTGAGTGGTGCTGACCTACAGGATGCGGGGGTTCACCAGTTCACTCCTGCGAGTCGGCGGGTGACCCACTGCACGGACGCTCGGACAGGCCGACACCTGGCCACGTTTACCCGTCGGCCGGGGTCGAGCCTGTACACCCTGACCACTGCGTCTCCTCCAGTCACTGCGTCTGGTCAGGTAGCTGCGTCGGGTCAGGTGTTTGCTGCAGCGTCCAGGTCTGGTCCTGAGTCTGCCCCCTGTTCGTGTCGCCTCCTGTCTCACGAGACTCTCCTCTGGCACCACCGCCTTGGTCACCCCTCCCTGCTTCGTCTCCGAAGCATGGCCTCCCGTGTCCTTGTCTCTGGTCTTCCCCGGTCCTTCCCTCCCCTTCCTCCGGGGCCTGGCCCTACCTGCGTCCCCTGTGTCGAGGGGCGGCAGCGGGCTGCCCCTCACTCCTCCCAGTTTCCTCCGACAGAGGCCCCGCTGCAGACGCTTCACATGGACGTGTGGGGCCCGGCCCGCGTCCGTGGACAGGGTCACGAGCGCTACTTCCTGCTGGTGGTTGACGACTACTCGCGTTACACCACAGTCTTCCCCTTGCGCAGCAAGGGTGATGTCACTGAGGTGTTGATCGACTGGATCCGCGCAGCTTGTCTCCAGCTCAGGCAGAGCTTCGGCTCGGACTTTCCTGTTCAGCGTCTGCACTCTGACAGAGGTGGAGAGTTCTCCTCTGGCCTTCTGCGAGCCTACTGTCGTGCACGAGGCATCCGCCAGACCTTCACGCTTCCGGACTCTCCACAGCAAAATGGGATTGCTGAGCGCCGCATTGGCATGGTCATGGACGTCGCCCGTACGTCCATGATGCATGCGGCTGCCCCCCATTTTCTGTGGCCGTTTGCGGTTCGGTACGCGGCGCATCAGATCAACCTTCACCCCAGGGTCTCCATGCCGGAGACCTCCCCAGCTTTGCTGTGGACGGGGAAGGTTGGCGATGCGTCTGCGTTCCGTGTCTGGGGATCTCGGGCGTTTGTCCGCGACTTGTCTGCGGACAAGCTGTCCCCTCGTGCTGCTCCTTGCGTCTTCCTTGGCTTCCCCCCTGACGCGCCAGGGTGGCAGTTCTACCACCCCACCTCTCGCCGTGTCCTGTCCTCCCAGGACGTCACGTTTGACGAGTCGGTCCCCTACTACCGCCTCTTCCCCTACCGCACTCCGTCCCTCCCCCCGCCACCGCTCTTCCTTGTCCCAGGTCCCCCCCCGGTAGACCCCCTCCCCCCTCAGGGTCCTGCCCCTTCAGGTGTGTCCCAGGTAGACGCAGTCGAGCCTGTCGAGGTTACTGGTGACTCTGGTGCTGCTGAGGGTGCTGAGCCTGGGGGTGCTGACTCTGGGGGTGCTGAGCGTGTGGGTGCTACGCGTGGGGGTGCTGAGCCTGAGGGTGCTACTACTGGGGGTGCTGAGCCTGAGGGTGCTGAGCCTGGGGGTGCTACTACTGGGGGTGCTGAGCCTGGGGGTGCTGAGCCTGGGAGTGCTACGCCTGGGGGTGCTACGCCTGGAGGTGCTGAGCCTGGGGGTGCGGAGCCTGAGGGAGCTGGGCCTGCTCGTGTGGCGTCTGGCGGTGCTGAGCCTGGAGGTTCTCCGGGTGCTTCGTCTCGGCGGGAGCCACTCTCTCCACAGGAGCTGCGCGAGTGGTTTGCCCGGCGCTGGAGGCGTGCTGCTGGAGCTGGAGGTTCTTCGGCTGCTGAGGGTGCTGGTGCCGCGGGTCCCGGAGGTGCTCGTACTGGGAGTACTGGAGCTGCTGGGCCTGCGGGTACGACTGGAGCTGGAGCTGCTGAGGGTGTTGGCGCTGAGGCTACTGCTGTCGGTCCTGGAGGCGGTCCTGCTGGGGGTGCTGGAGCTGGAGGTACTGCTGGCGCTGGTGCTGCCGCTGGGGGTACTGGTGCTGTCCCTGCTGTGTCTGGAGTCGCCACACGGCCTAGGCCGTACTTCGTTCCGCTCCTTCAGCAGGTTCTTGGTCTCCCGCCTTCTACTGGTCCTCCTCCTCCCTTAGAGTGTCCACAGCCTGTCCCGTCACAGTTACAGTTACAGCCGGCCTCTCCACTGCCCGCTCCTTCTCCCTACACTGGTCCTACTGGAGGTCTTGCTGAGCGTCGTGAGCCTGCGTCTCGCCCTGCGTCGCCTGTCCGTGCTGCTCGCACTAGTGCTCGTGGTTCGCGTCAGCGTCCTCCTCCTGTCCCTGGCACGCACCGGATGTCTCTGCGTCCGTCCACTGCTCCTCTGCGTGCCCCTTTGCCTTCTCCTCCTGAGTCCTCTCTTCCTGCTCTTCCTGACCCGGAGTCGGACTCTCTTCGTGCTGCCAGTCCTACTGTCACGCGTCTCCTTGCTACTGTTGTCACTGACCCTTCCTTTGAGTCCACTGCTGCGTCTGCCCTTGTTACTGAGCTCGTCGACTTTGCTGCTCGCTGTCGTCTAGACTACGCTGCTAGTCTTGTTGCTGAGTCTGAGTCTGTCTGTCCTCCGTCCGTCGGGGGTGAGTGTGCCCTTGGCACGGACGTCCTTGAGGACAGGCAGGAGGAGTTCCAGTGTTTGGCTGCTGCTTCACCTCATCTCGTGTCCGTACTGCTTACCCCTGAGGGAGACCCGGATGCACTTGACATCCCGACTCCGCGCTCTTACGCGGAGGCGATAGAGGGTCCCTACTCCTCTCAGTGGCAGGCAGCTATGGACGCAGAGATGGCTTCCTGGAAGTCCACAGGCACCTACGTTGACGAGGTTCCCCCGCCTGGGGCGAACATCGTCAGTGGCATGTGGATTTTCAGGGTGAAGCGGCCGCCGGGTTCTCCGCCTGTCTTCAAGGCGCTTTACGTGGCTCGTGGCTTCAGTCAACGGCAGGGAGTTGACTACTTTCAGACCTTCTCTCCCACCCCGAAGATGACCACTCTTCGGGTACTGCTGCACATAGCTGCTCACCGCGACTACGAGCTGCACTCTCTTGACTTCAGCACTGCTTTCTTGCAGGGCAGCCTGCACGAGGAGATCTGGCTGCGTCGCCCACCTGGCTTCACTGGGTCTTTTCCTCCTGGCACCGAGTGGAGCCTCCGGCGGCCAGTCTACGGTCTCCGCCAGGCACCGCGTGAGTGGCACGACACACTGAGGACTACACTTGCGGCTCTTGGGTTTGCTCCCTCTACTGCCGACCCGTCGCTGTTTCTGCGCACCGACACTTCTTTGCAGCCGTTCTACATCCTCGTGTACGTCGACGACTTGGTCTTTGCCACAGCTGACACTGCTGGACTCGCCCACGTGAAGTCCGAGCTGCAGAAGAGACACACGTGCACAGACCTGGGTGATTTGCGCAGCTACCTTGGCTTGCAGATCACCCGGGACAGAGCACGCCGCACCATTACCCTGACTCAGTCACACATGGTGCAGCAGGTCCTTCAGCGCTTCGGCTTCACGTACTCCTCGCCTCAGGCCACTCCTCTGCCTACTCGCCACTCGCTCTCAGCTCTGCCTTCGGATGAGTCCGTAGAGTCGAGTGGCCCGTACCCAGAGCTTGTTGGCTGCCTCATGTACCTGATGACCTGCACACGACCTGACCTTGCATACTCTCTTAGCATTCTTGCACGCTATGTTGCTCCTGGGAGACACAGACCGGAGCACATGGCTGCAGCGAAGAGGGTGTTGCGCTACTTGTGCAGTACGTCGGGCATGGGGCTTGTGCTTGGAGGGCAGAGTCCAGTGGTCCTCACTGGACACGCAGACGCTTCTTGGGCTGACGACCAGGCTACGCAGCGGTCGTCACAGGGTTACACCTTCAGCCTTGGTTCCGGCTCTGTTTCGTGGCGGGCTACTCGCTCGTCTTCTGTTCTCGGCTCCAGTTGTGAGGCTGAGATCTACGCCGGGGCCATGGCTGCACAGGAGCTTCGCTGGCTCACCTACCTGCTGACTGACCTCGGAGAGCCGCCTCGTTCTCCTCCAGTGCTCTACGTAGACAACAAGGCCATGCTGGCCTTGTGTCGAGAGCAGAGACTGGAGCACAGAATGAAGCACATTGCTCTTCGCTACTTCCTTGCTCGTGAGCTACAGCAGCGTGGTCAGCTGCGACTTGCGTACGTGGCCTCTGAGGCCAACACTGCTGATATCTTCACCAAGGCACTTGCGCCTTGTGATCATCAGCGCTTCTGTACTCAGCTGGGTCTTGTACCTACCTTGCCTCACTTGCTCACCTCTTGACCTTGTTTGTACTGTTGCATATATATATACTCCTGCTCTTGCTTGTCTAGCCTTATATATATATGCAATCCTGCATGTGAACTGGCCTTGTGGCCTTGAACTTGTGCTCGGAATGTGTGGTGACTTTGTGATCCACCCTGAGCTTGCTTTGCTTTGCTTGACTGGTCTTGTGACCCCTTGTTCTCCCCCACTTTGCCTATGGGGGTGTGTCAGAGTTATATGACATAGCTACTGTAGGCTATAGTGGGGTAGCACATATGGGGTACAGTTGCCTAGGGTTTGCCTTTTTGTACCCAACTTTCACTTAGTCATTTCATTCCTGTTTTCTTGATTCACACCAAGTGTTGCGCTCCTCTAGTGCTTTTAATTCCCTGTCCATGGCTTCGCGCCATTTTTCCTTATGCTCCCCCCCCAGAGCCTGCTGAACTGTGGCAGGCTCCTTAGGAATGGCCGTGCCGTGGACTGCGGTGACGAGCCCGAGTATCTGGAGTCCACTCTGTGTGTAGCGGGGGAGTGACATGTCCGCGGGATAAACTGCTTCGTCTCCCGCTTCTTGATCAGGTACGAAGTTGGGTCCTACGCGTTCTGCTTCGTCAGTGTTGACTTGTGCAAGTGTAACGTAACCGTTGTCAGCGAAGTGGTAGTATGTTTTGGCGTTGATGCTTTCGCGTGGGTTTTCGTCGTCCATTGGCACGTCAACGGAGCAGTAGGGGAGGGGTCCGGCTTCTTCCGAGGCTCCTTCCACGTTCTGCTCGTCCCAGTCAGCTTCGTCGTCTGCCGAAGCGAAGGCTCGGTCTCCACGAAAGCCACCTGTGAGGTCTCGGTTTTCGTCCATGTTGGCAAGGTACGTCGACAGTGTGAGTCTTTCGTAGAAAATGACATCACGTGCTGCCACTGTTTCTTTTGTCTCGACGTCGAAAATCTTCCATGCGTTCTAATGCTTTTCGATGCCCAGGTGTAGTCCCCACTGTGCGTGTTGAGAGAATCGGCCGGCTCGTGCAGATGGGGGCCGGTACTGTACCATGCAGCCGAAGACCCTTAACATTTTTGTGCTGCCCAGTTTTCCTGTCCACAGCAGGTGCGGTGATGCGTTGTTCGGGAGCGATGATGACGAGAGCAAGTTGTGCAGCATGACGGCGTGGTCCATTGCTTCGGGCCACTGGTGGTTGGGTAGCCGCATGCTACGTAGCAGTTTCCGCATGGTGTTCTGGAGAGTCCTGTTCATCCTCTCTGCTACACCTTGCTGTTGATGGGGGTAGGGAAGGGAGATGAGCCGCTTGATTCCCCTTTCAGCCAAGTACTGCTTGAACCTCTGTGAGGTGTATTCTCCTCCTCCGTTTGACTGAAAATTCTTTAGCTTGACGCCCGATTCTCTTTCCGCTACAGGGAGCCAGGCGACGAACGCTTCGAACGCCATATCCTTGCTTGGAAGATTCAAGTGCCAGACGTAACGTGTCGCGGCATCGATGAACGTGATGGTGTAATTGTACAGGATGTCGCTGTACACCTTCTCGAGTGGTGCGTAAGCTGGTGCGCTTGGGGTATGGTGAGACGCGAACGGTCGATGCGGTAAGTTGGCTTCAGGGCAGGTGAAGCACGTTCCACGTACTCGTTGAAGTTCTCTTCCATCGGTCAGTAGTAGTGAGTCATTGTCGAGTACTCCTGCTCTTATCGTATTGTTTAATACTGTGTTGCTTGGGTGTTCCATCCTTGCGTGCCAGGTGCTTTCGTCGGCGCGATGTCCGGGTGATCGTCGGTACAGGTCGGAGTTGGAGTAGAAGCTGGCGGTGAAGTTGGCGCTTCGATGAACTTCTCGTGGTGCTGGGTGTAGTTGTTGCGCGGGTGTCGGTGGTGTGTCGTCGACGAGGAGCGGTGCTGTTGAGGGACCAACGATTGGTGTTGACGTTCCTGCTACTGCCGTTGATGTCTCTGCTGCTGCCGATGTGGTTTCTGCTGCTGCCGATGTTGTTTCTGCTGCTGCCGATGTTGTCTATGCTGCTGCCGATGTTGTCTCTGCTGCTGCCGATGTTGTCTCTGCTGCTGCCGAGTGTTGAATTGTTGCTAATGCCCTTGTTCTTTCTGCCTCAGGGATGGTGTGAGAATACCAGAAGCCGTCGGGACTGAAGTCTGGATCAAGGTCTAGAGGGTGGGTCCAGGAAGTGAAGGTGACGATGTCGTCGCTGTCTGCTGTGCCGAGATCTGGAACAAAATCAAGAACGAAGACATTATTTTTCAGGACCGCCTTTCCGATGTAAAGGCCTCCTCTCCCGTGGTACAACTTGAATTCTTGAGTGGTGTTGTCTGCTTCGAGATGGATGCCCTTCGCCATCAGCTGGCTGACGCTGAGTAAGTTATATCCAAGTCCTTCTGCTATCAGAACTTTTGACATTTGTAGTATCACGTTTGTTTCTCGTGACTGAAGTTGAACCACTCCTTGTCGTCGTGTGCGCAGGTTCTGGTTGTTGGCGACGGTGATGACTACTTCGCGTTGGATTTGGTATTCCTGCTGCACGAAGCGTCGTGAGGAGCACATGTGTTGTCCGCAGCAACTGTCCAAGAACCAGGTATCTTTCCCGGATGGCTCGCTCTGGGCGATGGCTGCGTATGTTGGATTCGGTTGAAGTGACTCGCGGCGAGGTGTGGTGTTGTCGAGTTGTTATTCCGGTGAGTAGTGTGGCGGTGACTCGGTGATGCAGGAATCGGTCAATTTTGCCATGCAACAGACGATGTTCCTTGCTCCTTGTGCAGGTTGTCCTGTTGAAGTCGTTGAGGCTTTAATCTGGGTCGTAGAATTTGCTTGTGTTGAGGCAACTTGATTGTTTGAAGGTCGAAGCTGCCGCTGTGAAGGCGTTGACTGTTGTCGATTCGGGCAGTGCGTGCGCGGGTGCCCTGGCGTCTTGCAGATATGGCAGAACGGAGGTACGGGCTTCGGTTGTTGTTGTTTGTTGTTGTTGTAGCGTCGCTGAGTGTGGAAAGCAAATTCCGGTGCTGATGTCTTCTTCTTGTGTCGTTCTTCTTGCAGGTCCATGTCTTGTTGCTCGGCATGAATTTCGGCGCAGAGTGCTGCTTCGGAGATTCTTCCGTGAGCTCGGAGAATGGCCTTTGTGGCGCGCCATTGAGGACCGAGGCCGCCAATGATGACTGTCACGAAGGCGTCTTCAGAAATCGACCCTCCGCATCGAAGAAGCTTGTCGCGCAACTAGCGACATCGGCTGATATACGCCATTCCTTTCTCGCCTGGTTTCATTTCGACCGTTGTCAGTTGCGCCATTAACCGACTTTGGTTTACGCTGTCTGTTTCTTGATACAGGCTCTTCAAGCGATTGTACGCGAGCTCCGCGGAGTTGCCGTAACCCCGGTAAGACCGTATATTCTGCTGTTGAGTCGGGGTGATGTTTCTCAGTAGAATCGTGTACGCCATCATCGACTGATAGGTGTACTGCTGCTTCTCATACTGTGTGCCGTTCGTTGGGTATGGCAGGGACCCGTCAAAGAAGCCAAGTATCTGCGCGCCTTCCATCATTAACTCGAATTCAAACGACCAGGTGAAGAAATCCTTTCCATCGAAAGGTCTTGACATCTGCATCTTCAGAACATGCGCGAACTGCGAATGAACTTGTAATGCGCCCAGTGATCTTTCTTGTCCAGGTGAAGGCTGCGGGTGTGGCATAAAGCTGATGGACCCGCGCTCGTACGGAGCAAAGGTAGGCTGCTGCTGTTGATTTCCTCGTGCGTATGATGAGCCGTCGAGGCTCATGGGAGTTGCTCCGTTGTTGTTGCTATTGTGTGACTGCACAGGTGCCGATTGCTGGTGTTGCTCGTAGAAGGACATGAAGGAGAAGAATTTCTCCATCATGCTCTGGTCGAAGTCTGCAGGTTGATTCGCAGGAGTCTCGGTGGATGTTGCCCTGGGTCTTGTTGCCGTACCCTCCTCTGTCTGTAGGCCAGAGGCAGGAGGTGGGGTAGGGGTGGTGCCCTGGGAGCCGTTGGAGGGGCTCCTTTCCTTTGGTGTAGCCATGCCTGTTGATGTTGTTGGTATCTTAATAGAGGTTGAATTCTCCCTGACCGCTCTCATACCATGTTGGGTTGAAGAGGCCCTTAGGATCTTTGCAGGGATGAACTCTGAGTAGGACTGATGAAATAGCGGAAGCGTTTAATGAAGTATTGTGAACCACCTTGCGCTAGTATGTGAGGGCAAAGTAGATTGATTAAAAACAAAGAGATACAAGATTATATAAGAGTACAAGGAATATGAAGGGATACAGTTATAACTGTTTTACTGTTGCTGTTGCGGTTCGATACAGTGACGACTCGGGCAACTGCTCTGTAGCGAGTCAGTTGTGTGTCCTTGCTGTCGCTGACCTTTGACTTTCGCGTAACCTCCAGCAGTTACTTCAACCTCCGAGGTTTGACTCGCTGGTGCCTCGATATGCTTTGCTTCGCTTGTGTCTTGGTGTTTCGACACGACAGAGGCGCTTAAGACCGATTGTTTCCAACACTTCTTTAGCTGCGGTCGGGAGTGCACAGTAATGTTCTCGTATTACTATTCGTAACACCCCCCTTCACTCCTGGCCGCAGCTCGACTTGACCTGCTTGACCACGCCGTTGAGTTCGGAGCAGTGCTGATATTGCTGGCGTGGCAGTCGCTTCGTGAGAAAGTCTGCTGCCATATCACCAGTTGGGCAGTAGGTCAAGTTAACCTTGCCCTTGTCCACCTCGTCCTTCACGAAGAAATACCGCAGCGGAATGTGCTTGGTGCGGTTGACGAAACCAGGTTTGTTCGCGACGCGAATCGCGCTCTGGTTGTCGCAGTGAAGACGGAAGGTGGGCGAAGCTGGAATTTTTGCCTCCTGCAGAAGTTCCTGAAGGTAGAGGCCTTCGCGAACTGCTGCGGTTGCTGCGATGAATTCCGCTTCGGCTGATGACAGGGCAACCAGCTCCTGCTTCTGCGAATTCCATGAGATTGGTCCCGTTGGTTCAAGTCGGAACAGGAAGCCTGT